AGTGGCCACCTGCTGTCCTTCATGCTTTCTCTGAATAATTCATGTGAAATCACGAGCCAGACATGCGGTCTTTAAGGCTACTCTTTTCATTATAGATTACCATTTTAATAAGCAATTTTCTGAAGTCGCACCATTAAAACGGTGAAATATTGGCTCCAAGGGAAATTTTTTTTTACATTTACATTATGTTTAGCCACAAGAGCTCTACAGCAATACTCGAACCAATTTCTAAATTTGAGCAACACAGTTGGAGCTAAATGCCGGATATTTATTTCATCATTAATGTTTTTACTTGATTCCTTTTTCTATGGACGCCGCCGTACGGATCGTTTTACCCGATGTTTGTATCACACTGTGTTCTGGTAAGATTAAACTCTGTGAAATCAGCTGCTTCTACAGTGAAACTACTCCCACCTATCATCCCAGCAGCACACACTATAATCACAGCTATCACTGCTCCAAGATCAAGAAGGCTCAAGCAGCCAATAACAGCTTTGCGGGACGAAACGGAGCTAAATGAATGATTTTGACTGTTTGTTCTTCCTTTTGACCCCCAAACCACAGCCACTGATTGAGCTGCTGTATTGCTACTGCGAGCAGAGGTCATAAATCGATTATATAGCTGCAGATTTATAAAGAAAATGACACACATTCAGTACTTTTGTACTTTTTTTTCTTTTTCAATTTGATGCAGAGCTGTGAGAAACTGTTTTCCCTTAACATCTGATTAAATATAAAAAAATAAAACATATACTGGAAAACTATCTGCATGCAAATGAAGCTGAAATTAATTTTTAAAACTCATATAACTCCACAGTAAATTGCAAAAATGCTCATAGTGAATTCTCCCCCGCACTATTTTGAAAACATATTTCTTGGGATTTTAACGCTTATTTTCATGGACAAACCTTGCTTCACTGTTCTGTGTCAGTGAAGCCACCACATCACCATATTTTGACCGATGCTGAAACCGGTGAAGGGTGACAGAACAACAGGGAGAGTTTGGCCGAGATGAGCTTAATTTTCCTCCCTCTGCCAGGGGACCGGCTCCGAGAGCAGTCGGCTATCAGGGTTGGGACCCGCATTTCGGACAGCTGAACACCGCCCTAGCATATAGGCGTAGAGGACACTATGGATTACTTCACATTTAATAACATGTCAAAGTCAAAGCGGATTTGTATGAGCCACGGTCCACAAAGAGAGGCAGAGGCTCGGGCTGCAGCTGATAGCGTTGCTGCCGCCTGGTTAGTGGTCAGCCCTGCTGAGCTAGCTGCGACCACAAACACACACAGAGAGCCTCTGCAGCCAGTGAACGGAGCTGATTCTGCTCCTGTGGACAACCGATGCAAAGTGAAACTTAGTCACTAATATGGGAAGTTTCACTGTGAACTGCTGGTTTCTAGCATCTCTTACTCGTAATGAAAACTATTTAATCAAAAGCAAAATGAGTTACAGTACTTGCTGCGTTATTTGAAGCCTCAACCATAAACAGGACATCAGGACGGTCCCTCGTGCCTTCACTGCATTTGGGAAGACTGCGTTTTGTCACAATGGTCCTGGAATCTGCTCCAGAAAACGCCCAAATTGTCTGACCCTGTTTCTTTGGGAGATTTTAAATGTTTGGTAAAAGCCGGAAAAAAAAAAAGCAGGAACCGCCTTAAATGAACTCCCAAGGAACGGGGGGAATTCAAGGAATTAAGCCCTGGAAGGAATAAAAAATAATTAATAAAATTTTTGGGGTGGAATGGTGGAAACCCTGGTGCCAGCCCCCTGGCCAAGGCCCCCCTGAAAAAAAAACCCAAAGGGAACCAACCGGCTAAAAAAAAGGTGAAAAAATAAATAAATAAAAATTAAAGATGGAAAATGACGTAGTGGCTGGTTGCAGAACAGCTGGAGCTCCATCCATGTTTGTGTCACACATGACGTCAAACTAATTCCTCACCAGTATGGTTTCTTTCATCGTGAGTACGTCTTATCATGTTCATTGTAAGGACAGCTTTGTAACTGATTAGTATTTTTATGTATTAGTAATTCGATGCTATAAAAGGGTGTGTGTTATAATAATGTAATGACAGCCGCTCTCAATAAAGCCCCCTACAAACACATTATGTCAAACCAATGTTGCACTCTGGTCAGAATTTGTTGTTGGTTTCAACACCACCAACACCAGGTTCACTGTGACAGCATCGCATCACGATCATAAAGGAATCAGTTGTCATGGAGACTGTTCTGAAAAGGTACTGTAACCACACAGAACAGCGCCGTTTAATAGTAGAGCAATTACATTATATTATAGTCATCATGCTTCTATCCGTCATTACAAATGTCACTGGTAGATTATCTGGTAGGTTGTAGGGATGGTTGTGAGCGACTTGCTGGCTGATGCATGCAGCAGCAGCAGCATCCAGCTAGCATGAGCTGGAGTAAATCAGAGAACTGTTGGGTTAGACATTGGTATTCAAGAGCAGGCGAGTGATACGCTGTACCTTTGGATTTTTAACTGGATGTGCTGTAGATCTTTTCATCCTCTGATTCTTGCTAAAAGCTGCTGACATGGTGTTCAGATCGTCTTTTGACAAGCTGGAGTTAGTATGCCGCCACTTTTCAAGCTAGCATCGCTGACACTCATTTGAAAGCTGGAATTTATCTTCTCCATGTCAGAACAACCAATTCATGAGGAAAAAGGAGTTGATATATAGTTAACTAGTCAGACAGCTAGCTGTTAGTAATCATTTTATTAAGAAGAAAATAATAAGGGGAAAATGTGAATTACGACTGAAGTAGCTACCGTTCAAAATGGCTGACCCTAACCCTATCACTAAACCTCCAGCACTCAACAACACCCAACAAGACCCAAGTGTTTAACTGGTTCTTATAAAAGGTGAGCAAGCCAGACATTAGTAAATGCATCACATTTACATCTACATTGTATGAGCCTTTCTCACTGCGGAGAATTTGACTTACAATAGCAAAAATACCGGTGCTATAAATGACATCATCAAGGCTGTTCCAATCAGGTCTGCCATCAGGCCGTGACAGTGTGACTGTGGACCAGCTTTCACAATAACAGAACCCTGAAACTAAAGGACCTAAATGGAATTCAGTCATCTCTACCTTAAGAGGCGATCCGATACGACTCTAGATACATGGGTTACGATACGATTCACTAACGGTACATTTTAAGACATTACAATTCGATGTGATGCAGCTTGAATCTATTTGCGGTGAGAAAATTTAAAGAGAAATGTATCACTGAGACTCCTGCTGCGACGTATTACTCTCGTGAGACTAGAGCGGCCATATTTGATAGCAGAACTCCAGTCAACCGACTCATAACTTCACAACCGGACATCGACGGCCCCACAGTAGATATAGATGAATCCAGAGCCTTGCCGATTGATGTATTCATATCAGCAAAGTTAAAATCGAATCTTTACACCCCTAGAATTCAGTCATCGTTAACGTTGTCATTTTCATACATCTCTGCTATTGTGACATTTCTTCAGTGATAAAACACCTATGAATGCTTACCAACAGTTAACAATCCAGGTAACAAGTCACAGTGTGTAAATGAGGACAGAGAGGCTACAAAGAGGTGTGACTCTAGTTGTTTGATGGAAACTAGTTTCTTCAACAACCTCTAACGCTGTGGCAAGTATATATGTCAGACCTCCAAACATTATTCAAAATAATGATGTGACAGTAACTGAAACATGTCATCACTCAAACTACTGTTTTTAATTAATATTTGTCATAATTATATTATTATAAGTATTGCATTAATTCCCAACACTGCTGTCTACCCCAAAATGTACCATTTTCCTGTTTTTTTCATTTTAATATTCATGAATAAAGTATGTTTTAACCCTTCGACTTTGTTTTCCTACATTTCATGCATGTAACTACAGTGACTGTGCCTTCTGAGCACTTCCAACCTCCGCTGACCATCAGCAGGACACTGTATCACCCCATAACACCACTTGTGTGGACATAATTGCAGCATCAGAGCCATCGTTGCCGCTCCGCTTACACCTTCATTACTTCATCAGTACATGGATTTTAGTGACCTCACATAAATCCCAGCATCCCGCAACCTTTTTCACAGCAGACATTTTGGCCTTTCATAAAAAGAACAGCTTAAGTAGCAACAGGACCGGGCAGTTTCAGGGTCCTGCTGGCTTACTGGGACACTTGAAGGAACTGAGCCATTAATAAGGACATTTGTATCCTTGCACTATGGAATTAGAAGAACCATCTTATTTACTTCTGATTGACTATCGCTGTGTGATACAGTTCTGGGTCGATAGTACAGATGATTTCCAAACATCTTCCATTTGAAATCAGATGCAGCTTTAGCTGATGTGCATGTCGAGCTGCTAATCACTGCTGGTTAGAAGATGGAGACACTGAACCAACAACACAGATCAGTGTTGTGATGTCTTGTATTGTTATGGTCATTGAGCCTATATGATTAACAAGGCAGTAAACATGCAGACTGCTTTATCTTTGAAAGTGGAAGAAGCTGCTTGTCAGGATGAATTGTACTAATAATCTTAAAGGACTCCTAATGGACTCAAGGTACCGCCAGTATAGACTCAAGTATTGTATGTTTGTTTGAATACAGCCTCCTAGTCATGTCTACAGCTCCAGCTATGTGACTTTTCCTCTGCGTGGATAAAACACAGCACTAATGCGAAGTGAAGAGGCTACTTCAAAAGGACTGCACTTTCAAAAGCATATTCATCCAACTTTCAAGTTAGCAGCTCATTATTTAGAAGGTGTTAATGATTCGAGTGAATCAGCCCCTCAGATAAAGATCCTTCCGCTCACAAGCACATCTTCCTCAGTGTTTTAAACCTTTAGCTAGATCTGTTAAAAAATTAATTTGAGAGCATCAGTCGTGTGTAAAAAAAAAAAAAAGATCGAGGTACTGATTGGGAAGCAGATCAAACACAATCCAATGAAATTTCCACATGCAACATCAAAAAGATCTTTCTTACTGTGTTGTTTCCGTTTCCATTTAAATGTAAGCCACTGTCAAACAGCGGGGAGGATACTCGGCTGTGATCCAGCCCCGGAGAACCTGGGGATGAAAAAAAAAAAAAAAAAAGGAGAATGATTCATGTTCTTTACAAAAAGCCTTCTGAAGAATCACTGTTAAACATTTAGTCGAACTTCACACCATATCGATGACTGCTTAATTCCTTCAGGAACAAAGAAAGTAAGTTGCGCATCAACCTCAAACAGCGCAGTCCAGCTCGTAGTGTTAAATTTTAAGGGTTATTATTGACTTTATTCTGCTGCCCTGCCTTTAAGCTGTGCTGTGTAGATCACAGGCGGCATCCAAGAGAAGATGAATGCTGCTCTTTGATATGATATTAGCTTGGCGTTGGAGGACCTGCTTTCTGGTTCGGTCACACTCGGTAAAGTGTGGCAAGCAGCTCCTGGCCTCTCCTGCTTGTAATTTGTGCCATGGTACAACAAAGGACGGCTTAGAGAGAATGCAGCTTGAACCATTTCGCTCTCAGGCAACAAAACCCCCGATTCGTCGAGCCAAACAACCTACAGCGAAACCAAGAGAGTGTCTGCGCGGCGGCCTTCCTTGTGAATGTTAACTTGCCCGCAAGATGTGAAGGTTTTGGATTCGGGAGAATGCGCTCCATCGACCGCGCTATAAATATTCATGCACACCTAATTGGACTAATTACTTTCTACATCTGTGTGCTTTTCAGAACTCGGTAAACTGAATGAAAAGAATATTGTGTTTGCGAGTGGATACTGAAATTATTTGTGTTACATGAGGTCCATTCCTTCTTTTTGCTTACAGCTAATACATAAGACAACAATGACTGGAGGCTTGGTGTGGGGGTTTGTTTCTAAAATGCAACGACAGGAGAAGTTTCCACGTCGAAGTGTTTAGTTGTGTTCGCTAGACATTTGCTATGAGTTTAAAGGGGCCACCTTTTTCTGCAAAATCTTTTATTGTTTTAGAATATAATTACATTTCCCACAAAACTTTTTTTTTCTTTTCCTCATGAATCAGAAAGTGTATCTCTGAATGAGCCAATCAGGTTTGGCGTACTAGATCTGACATACTACGCATTAGAACATACAAAATCTCCTTCTGGCATACGACATAGCACCCACAGTAGACACTAAGCAAGGTGTGCTTGCTGATCTTCTCTTCAAAGGTGTGTAGGCAGCAGCTGAGTTGGATTTAAAGCTACAGACACTGAAACGGTGCATTTGGAGCAGGTCTAGAAACAGGATTATTCTAGGAATGGTAGCATTTATTATCTGTGCAGTATTTTCAGCTGAAACTGGAAATGCACATTCTGGGGACGTGTCATGAACTTGTTCAGAGGGTGATACTGTGGGACCTTTAAGATGAGAAGATTAGTCTCATGTCTGTCCGTTATGGATGAAGCTGGAGCCAAGAGACCCTTAGCTTAGCTTAGATTAAGAGTTCTCGCCTGGCTCTGCCCAAATGTCACAAAATCCACCAGCAGCGAATCTAAAGCTCACTAACTAACAGATAACAAGTAAGAACAATAATCTGCAGCGGATATGTGCTGGACAGGGCAGATTTGCTTCCCCTTGACGGAGCCAGACTAAGCACATTTAGCACGTGGTATCAATCTTCTTCTTGTCTAACGCTGGGCGAAAAAGTGAATTAACACATTTTCTGAAATCAGGCTTTCACAAGATCACAACATTCACACTTTTACTACTAACAAAATGAGCAGTGAACTTTCTTCTGCCCGTGTTGTGCTCTGTAAAGACGATGTCAGGGACTCCTGAATACCAACCAGGGTTCATTTATAGTTGAAATCTGGTGATGGTTGTTTGGTTGCTTGCTTAGGTTGGAAGGCCACTGTCAATCAATACGGCTGCTACTAGTTTCATAAAATATAAAAAGCAGTGTTTCATATTTGAGAAGCTAGAAGGATCATATTTGGGTGTTTTTTTTTTATGTGAAAAAATAGTTGCCAATGAATTTCCAGACAATCAGCTAAACAATTAATTGATTGCAATCAAATCATTGCAGCTGCACAGACAAATACGTCTAAACCCACACAGTCCTGCTGAATCTAACAGATTAGCCGAGGAATAAACTCCTTCACATAAGTTTGACACACCCACACATATTTTCAGTATTTTCTACAGTGCTGAAGACATTAAAACTATTTATTATATCTTTGGAACTGTGTAGGAAACAGAACAAAATACTTTTCTCGTTTTAGGTCGTCACCTGTAATATTTAACATCTTTTCGAAGCTCCCACGTATGCTGAGCACCTGTCGGCTGCGTTTTCCCAAACCATCTACCTCAGCAGATGATGATCTCAAACGCATCAAGATGGAAATAAATTTCACGAGTTAACTTTGACAAAGCACAGCTGTTAATTGAAAACCATTCCAGGTGCTGACCTCGTGGAGCTCGGCAGCAGTGTGCAAAGCTGCTCTCAAACTGTTGCTATTTTGAGGAACCTAAAATATGAAAAATATTTGGTTTGACACATTTAAATTTACACCATACAGGGTATTTCATAGCTTTAATGTCTTCAGCATTGATCTAGAGCAGTGGTTCTTAAATTTTTTGAGCCACGACCTCCAAGATAACATAAGTTCGTGATCCCTCAATTTGAATTTTTAATATATCACGAGTAATAACTTTGTTGTTCATGCATTATTGTGTCAAAAATTAATGTTAATTCCACAGATGCATCTCTTTACATTACCACATTAATTTTCCTTTGAATGAATGAATGAATTTATTTTGATCAAATGAAAGGGGGAAAAAAAGACAAAAACAAAAGAAAATCATTTTAAAACAAGCAAAAAATAATAAAGTCTCATCGTCAAATCATAATATTAACAAGTTCAAAAAAGGATTGGGAAGAAGTATACACTTTTAATTTTGACAGCCCTAACACACATTTGTTTGATAAATGTAGGCTTTTTTTCTTTTCTTTTTTTTTTAACAATGATCTGGCGACCCCCTGAAATTATCTTGGGACCCCCATGGGGGTCCCGACCCCCAGTTTGAGAACCACTGATCTAGAGTGTAGAGAACACTAACATTAAAGGAAAATCCTTGAACAAGTAGTCTGTTTAAACTTTTGACTGGTACAAATTATACAAGAAACACAAAAGACAGATGAGACGGAGGGCGTGTTGCAGTAAGACGGGACACTTGAGCGCCGCCACTCATTATGTAAAACATGACAACGTGGTGTTTTCGTAATGAAGTGTGTTTTGTAATTATAAATTATAACTCGCATGTGATTTCTGGAGCTATTTCAGGTAATCACCTACCTCCACCGTGCAGTACTTTATCACTCCTCCACTTAATATAAAAAAGACAAAGTAGCCCCACTTAATATAAAACAGTGCTCCGCAAAATTGCCACATTTATAATTTGCTTTTTTTTTTTGCCTCCGCTAACTGCTTCGTGTTCTAATTTTCTCGCTATCATTTTCTCACCTCTCTCACCTATCATCCTTCATTCCTCAGCTCCACATGGATGATTTTAGTGTCTCAGTTTTCATCTTTTCAAGCTGCTGAAGTTAAGTGCAGCTCTGGGTGTTTCTGACATTACTGCTCGCCTCGGGCCACGGAGCGTGACAATTTATTACTCTGAAATAAATGCTCATCTATTGAACAGCTTTAAAGCGTTAAGTTGAGCAAAAAAAAAAAATAAAAATAAAACACAATCTCCCATAAATGTGGCTTACTTCTCCGCTGCTAAGGATGCTCAGCAGAATGAAGTTTATTGTGAGCTTGGTCGGCGTCGCAACCGGTGGATGCTTACCTAGAGGCAGTTTTAGAAATGATGGAACTTCTCGCAGGTAGCGAACGGTGATGGTGACCTCATCTCCCGCCGTACGCAAGAGGTGAACCTGGCAGGAGCGAGAGAGATTGATATAGATAAGCAAGAGAGAGATAGAGATTGAGACTGATGCGGCGAGATAAACTTTAATCTCGTATAAATGAAACAAGCCACATTCATGTCAAGCTGTACACAACCCCCGAGCAAACAAAATGTAACAGGAGATGAGTGAAGAATATTTAATCAGAAGTTGGCGCCTGACTGAAGTGCTTTGACTTGAATCATCAAAAGGCAGAAATTGAAGGCCGGAATTTCGCTCATGACAGGCAGTGGCAGAAGATACCACAAAGTGATTACGCTCTGGAAGTCTGATTATCTGATGTCTAAATGACATAAAATATGTCCTCAACACGTCGAGTCCTGATTCCAAGGAGGCTTTCGTGTAAGGTTCAAGGATCGCATATCAAATCTGCCTATTTTTCTTGTATCTTTTATATGAGGAAAATACAAGAGAGCACTTTAATTTGAAGCAATGTTCTTAACACTGTTACAAAGCGCTTCACAAAAATGAAAAACAGACTAACGGAGAAAATGTAAAAACAGGGAAATGATAAGATCAAATAAATATGAGCTATGAAGTGTAAATAAAACTATGCATCAGACAGTTGCAAAAGCTGCCACAAGGTGAAACGCTTTAAGGAGAGACTGAAAAGGACCTGGAGACTGTCTGAGTACAGCAGGCAGAGCTCCATAATGTGAGGTCTCTGATAGCAAAAGACAGGTGATCCTTGCCACACAGACTTAGACTCTAAATTTTGCTCTTAGACGAGCTGGATTCAACTATAATCCACATAGTCAGACCCATCGTGAGAATGGTCTGACTGCACTGTATTATCATTCTGCTACATGCTGGCTTGATTTTTTCTGCTTTTTTTCTGTAAATCATAATCTCCTTGGGGTTAAGCCCAGGATGCAGCAACGGTGCCCCTGTAAATCCTGAGCAAAACTTGCGATTTTCAGCATGCAGGTTGATGAAGACGCTACCATGCACCTAGCACGGAGGTGTCCAATCCTGGTCCTCGAGAGCCACAATCCTGTTTTAGATGCTTCCCTCTTCCAACATACCTGATTCAAATGATCAGCTCATCATCAAGCTCTGCAGAAGCCTGATAATGATCCTGATCATTTAAATCAGGTGTGTTGGAAGAGGGAAACATCTAAAACATGCAGGACTGTGGCCCTCGAGGACCAGGAGTGGACACCCCTGACCTAGCAGAAAAGGAAGAGAATGTCTTTTGAAATGCATTGTGTCTACAAGTCTACAACTGGTGAGTCAGACCAGTTAGAGAAAAAACAAAGACCGACTTAAGCCTAAAAAAATTGCATTAAGGGTAACTCTGAACTCAAACCTTGGTGATAAAAGATGAAATGGCTCATAGTTTGTGGTTTGCTTATTATGGAGCAATTACAAGGGGAAGAGTTTCACACGTTTTTCGAAAGTTTCCCATTAAAACATCCTTGTAAGAGTCCTTTTAAGAGCAACTTAGTGAAAGAAATGCACTTAGATGTCTAACTAAAGTGTGACTATTAGTGACCTTAGCCATAGTCAAAGTCTATCTTTACAGCAGGGCTCCATCTGTCAACCTCGAGATCCAGAGGGTGCAAAAGGTCAATAATTCAGCGGTGTATTTAAAGGCAAGGTTCATTAAGTCCTTAAAAAGTGAACAGTAACTTTCTATAACCCATTCAAAATCTCATAGGGAGAAAAGCACCAGGGCTGATGCGATCATGCCTCTTGGTCCCAGTAATGACTTGAGCAGCAGCGTTTTGTACCAAATGAAACACCTGAATGTTACACGCAAGGTCACCTCTGCACATCCGAAGTGCACATCTGCTGTCAGATCCCTCGCTCTCCTCTCCAGCATTACGTGGTAGCCCTTGTTCCTTTAGCCTGAGCATCTGTCAGCGCTGGGACTGTGACAGGCTGCCATTAAAAGCTCTGGATTTGGTTCTGAAGAGAAGCTGCTCATTATGCTTTTTGTCGCTCTGGAGGTGAATATAGCGAACAGCTGTTTGGGACCGCACGGCAGACAGAGATGATCGACGGGAAGACTGTCTGAGGGAGATGTGGGAGGGGGGGTGAAGGCAGACAATAGAAGATACTTAACAAAGGGAGATGCTAAATTGGTGAGAAAAAAAATGAACAAAACAGAAGAAGAGAAAAAAAAAAAAGCGAGCAGCCATGCAGATAAACCACTAAATATTGGCACCACATCGCTTTTGATACTAATCTTCTCCTTTTCACTGTTTTCCATTTGTCACAGTGTAAACCGCAAGACAAACAGCCTCCTGTCAAGATGACAACTCAGATTGTTGAAGTGCACCTCCATGTTGATAACTAGTGGGATCTGGTGTTAAACCTGGAAGGAGGATGGCAGACGGATGGAGCAGGGTGTTGGCTTTGTGCAAGGTAATTACAAAAATACTCACAACTTCTTCATGAGTACAATGTTCTACTGTTATGCCATTGACCTAAAGAAACCAACAAAGAGAGGGGGGAAAAGCAAACAAGTTAATATATCGTTTAGAAAGTGTGATAATTTAGTATTTCTAAGCACAGGACTGGGGTTCTTGGACCGAACCACTGGATCAACATTTGCTCATAAAAGGCCACCAGATGACCACAGAGACGAGAACACAAAGCGATGCGACAACAAAGAGATGCAAAAACAACCAGGAGGCACAAAACAACTACAAACAGACGCAAAAGACAACAAAGAGATGCAAAAATGATGACAACTATAAAGAGACGCAATACGGCCACAAAGACAGACGACATGTTAAGGCATGTTAACCCTTTCAGCACTGAGTAACTTTGGCTTGAATGAACAGAATTACCAGCGATATATGCCTGTATGCCAGAGTCCTCGCTAGGATTCCATGACAGCGGACCGGGGGGTAGGGGGGTTTTAGCAAATGCTGCTAGAGGTTAGCGGCAAATATGGTAGCAAACAGCAGCGTTAGCAGTGAAGTCGACAGTAGTGAAACTCCATTGGCGCTAGTTGTTAAATATTTTCCCGTTACGTAGCCTCAAAAACAATGTATCGGCCCAATGTGCAGCGTCATTTTTTCAGGCAGCAGCGTAACGGGTCGGTACTCTGTTATGACGCTAGCAAGAACCCTGTATGCTATTATTATTATTATTCTTATTATTTGCATAATTTATTTCATGACTGAATCACTTGTTCCCATTAGTGTATTCCCACTGATAGACAATCAAAATGAATGTAACAGAAAGTCGCCATATACCGGAACCTGCTACACCAGGCTGCAGGGTTGACGGGGTGAAAGCCGCAGACCGGTATAGCGGGCTATAGTGTTGAAAGGGTTAACACACAGAAAATGGCTAAAATAAGACATAACTGTAAAGAGATACAGCACAAACACATGGACACAACCATCTTGTTAGGAGAAATCTTGGAACTGTCAGCAAGGCTTGGTGTTAACCGTGAACTCCACATGGTAGCCAGTTGATTGACGTGTACAATGTGCAGAGAAAGTTGCAGATCCAGGCCACAGAGGAACTCATATTTAAGGTACACTGCGAGTTAACACATCATACATGTTGAATAAAACTGGCAGTGGCTGCAGCTTTCAAGGCCAATCCTGCTAGCACGCTGTGGCTGATGAACAATTGCCAAATTGAGCTTGTGCTACAATTTCCGTTCCAGGAGTGCAAGTTTATAGAGATAAATACTTCAGATGGTAATTGTTTTGCCCACAGGGTGCACCGAGCTGAGGCGATTCTATATTGAACCCAACAACACATAGCGAACCATTCAGGAAAAACACATGAACCATTACGTCCCTAACAGAGATCCCAAAACAACCACAATATTTAACGACAAAGGAACACAAAATGACCAAAATGAGATGCCAAAGAGTTCACCACAGAACAAAGACACACACGAAAAGACACAAAACAACAATCAAAAAGCAACTAAGGCGATGCAAATGGCAGCAATCACAAAGAGATGCAAAATCGCTAAAAATAGATAACAGAGCAACCACCAAGAGACAAAAAACCCACTACAAACACAAAACGACTAAAATAAGATGTGAAACAACTACACAGCAGAGACACAGCACAACCACAAAGAGTCAAAATCACTACAAAGAGACTCAACATAGCCACAAAGAGATATAAGTCAGCCTCAATAAGATAAGCAAAACCACAACAACAAAAGAAAAAAAAAACTATAAAGAAAAAACTGGTGATTTTGAGCCTCTTTCAGTGTAGCTGTCTGAGGGTAGGAGAGGTGGGAGATCATTTACATGTAGAACTCTCAAAATGCATTCAAAAAACAAGTTTTGATATCATAAAAAATTAGAAAAGTTGTGACTTGTTTACTCAGAGAAGCAGGGTTTTAAATGAGTAGTTTTTTTTTAGTCATTTCACAATCGTCCCCCTCCTCTAAAACTGTGTTCCAGTCTGGCTCCCCGATTCAAAAGTTTTCCAAGCCGTCCCTAATTCGCTGCTTCTCCCACTACGACTGCAAGTATGTAAATAGATGCAATACTCTGCAGTGTGACAGTTCAAATAAGTCACTGCAAATAAATATGAAACAGTAGTGATCCAAAGGTGGATGCAGTAGCAGCTCTATTTATATTATAATCCATAATAACTTCCAATATGAATGTTAATATTGCTTTGCTGTCCACTTCATCTCGTTGATATTCCAGATAAACATCACATCCAATAAATCTGCCAGACGGATTCAAATTAACTTTTTAAAAGATTAAATGAATAGAATTACTAAATACGAGACGCTTTTTGGCAACTATTAGAAGGAACATCAGCCGTAATTTAACGGTAACATCACTAACAATACAGCAATGACTCTACAACAATGAGACATGTTTGGTTAAATTAAACTGATGTGTGTTCGGCAGCGATACATCTGACCGCAACGCTGTCTCTTCAAAGGCGCAACGAGACATAAAACGACTCGTTTGATTAAAATCACACAGTTCAAACTTCTAAATATTCTTTCCCCGTTTCCTCGAATTAATTACGCTGTCAAAATAACAGAGGGCTCAGATTAAGATGCAACAAGTTGCCGCTCTTGGCTGGGACTGAACCGACTTGCGAGGCAAAGAAAGTCGTGAACTGATGTACCAACCTGCAGCACGGCGTCCCCGACGAACAGCTTCCCCGTCTGATCAGCTGCAGGCATCGGTTGTCAAGTGTCAGAGGTTAATGAATACATTACAAAATAATTGCTCATTTCATACATGGCAATGTGGTGGAAATAGCAATCAGTGTCTCTGTCTGACTAATCTCGGCCAACATCCTACAGCTCGGAGAAAGAACACAGGAAAGCATGAAATTTCAAACTAATCAGGATATAAACTCATTCGCAGCGGCACGAGAGGAAACAATGAAAAGCTCTGTTGTCAAAAGATTTGCGAAGCTTTCTCAAAAGGGTTCTTAATGTCCTCTGGATATGAAGACATGACTCTCTTGTATCCGAAAAAAAGATATTAGGAGGCATGTGGGCTAAAAGACAAATTACAGGGGAATGATTCGCTCACTCGATGCTCTGATACGGCATCGTAGCGGGATACAGAGAGGTCATCAGTTCTAACAATTTAGCTGACAAACATGATTAAAGTACTTTCTCTTCCATCTAGCTGACAGCATGACCATATTACTCATCCAGATTGGCTGCTGTTTACTTCTTCACAGCGTTTCATGCTCGAGGATCACCAAGAACTGCCCTGTTGGACGCCTAATTAACAATAAACGTTGTGTGAGACGACAACACCTTATGTTTAAATTCATGTCTGTCGGTAGGTGTGCTTAAACAATCCTACCAAAAAAAAACTTATCAAGAAAATGTATTTTCGTTGTGAGAGGAGTGGCACCAGCCTCATGTCGTGGAGAAAGAATTGGGCCGTGATTAGTTTGGCTTAGCATGAAACAACAAAACATGTTTTTGTTTTAAAGGCATTGTGGACTCTTCCAGCCATTAAAGCTACTCAAGAGGAAGCAGAAAGCATGCTAAGTGGCTTTTAACTTGTACTTAGAGAAATCTACAAGACAATATTTGTATTGGTTGGGGACAGTGACTTGTGACAATAAGTTGGTCAATAACTCCCTGGACCATCACAGATTGTGGTTTTTACATTTCGCCTTGTGTGTGGGAAAAACAAAGACACACAGAGTAACTGAGTGAGTGGTAGAGGTGTAGGTAGGTATATTTATAAGTCAGGTTAACTGATTGCTTATGTTTTCAGCAGGAATAACATAATTACTATACAAGGTGTGTCAGAAAAGTTCCAGAACTGGTGTCACAAAAGATATATTTCAAATCCAAACTAGGAGTTTTCCCCTTCAGACGATCAACCAGCACGTCTACAAAGAGATCCTGCGGCGTTTGCTTCATTCAGTGCAAGAAGAGGCGAGAGTTGTGGCAGGACAAGTCGTGGCTGCTTCACCATGACAACACGCCTGCTCACAATGCCCTGAGCATCTGACAGCTCCTGGCTGAGGAGAACATCACTGTGCTGGACCAGCCTCCCCACTCACCCCACCTGGCTCTGTGGGATTTGTTCCTCTTCCCCAAGCTCAAGGGGGTCATCAAGGGGACCCGTTTTGAAGACGTGGACGGCATTAAGATGGCTGTGACGACGAAGCTGTGGAGAATCCTGGAAGAATCCTTAATGGATGGCGTGGCAGAGAAGGCTGGGAGAGTGTGTTAGACTCCAGGGGGATTACTTGGAAGGGGAAAACTTGTAATTTAGATTTGAAATATATCTTTTGTGACACCAGTCCTGGACCTTTTCTGACACACCTCATACAATCACCACTTCATGATGTCTTGAGCTGACCACAAACATTTTGAAAAATCACTAGAATCACTTCCACTCCACTGTTTAAAATCAGGTGGATGAAGTTAACAGAAATGTCACAGTTCAATCACTATTTCCTCGTCACTGTCCGTTCCTCCTTCTTCTATCTGGGTTTAATGGCACTAACTGTGCATCTCGAGGTGCCTAACTTCAAATATTCTAATTGGCTGAATTTCCATGAGCATCTATTGACGCGAATGTCATGGATTTACTTGCAAAGCCAGACATCACAGCACTGCCGGGGGCACATTTTTGTTTTAAGCCGAATGAAAAAGGAGAGCCCAAGAACTAGGAGGCAATTTGTCGGATTTGTAGCAGAAAGGTTGCTGTCAAAGGCGCCAATACGACTAATACACCAAACTAATAGAGGCAAAACTGAACAGAAGGAGACAATTAAAGCCTTAATTGCAATTGTTTGTATGAAATTAATTGTCAGCTGATATCACTAGTTTCCATTTGTTAGGCTTAGCTCAGTTTAAATTCTATTTACTCACCCTGTGCAGCTGTATAATATCTTCTGCAGCTGCATATTCTAAATGTTTTGTGGCTCAATTAATTCCTCCACCAAGGCAGAGCCGAAGCAGAGGTATGTTCTCACTGCTGTTTGTTTTCCTGTCTGTCTGTCAACAAGTTTAGGCAAAAACTACCTCAAAATTTCACAGAGGCGGAGCCTGGCCAAAGAAAGAGCTCGTTAAATTTTAGTGTGGATCCAGACTACTGTGGTTAAAACTGTGACACAGAACAACGGCCACGGCAGAGAGACACCGGGCTCCGAGGGCTCCTATTTTCTGTGTACATTTCAATCAGCTTTACATTCTCGGGCATCTCCAGGACCTCTGCAATTTCCAATAGACATTAAAATAGAGTTAGCTTGTTATAAATGCTTGGCTGCACAGCATGAGCTTATACACTGTGCAAATTAGTCACCTGGTATAGATGTGGACTGGCGCGTCCATGTTTCCATTATTTATGCTAAGCTGGGCTAAACATGACTTTATTCCAGCTCTATGACATGAGATTAGTAACAATCACATCCTCTAACTCTCAGAAAAAACTAAATGAAATCTTAATCATCATCATATTTCTATTAAAATGTAAAGAAAAGCACAAAGTATAGTGTTTTTGTTGTGTTATATGTATCACAAATGTCTCCTTCATTATGTCCATCAGGGTTGTCTCGGTTAGAGTTTTAACTAAAAATCTATGAGAAAGAGCACAAACTGGAGGATAGAGTTAAAAAGCCATGCCACAGAAGGCAAATGTAAAACACTACTGAGCTGCATTATGGGAAATGTAGGCTGCACTGCTCTAATTATTGCCAAAGCTTTTTAATTGCAAAATCATATGTCAGATAAAATTTAAGAACCACCAACATATCTTTTTCTCACTGCACCAACATTTTTTTTTACTCAACTTGAAAGGCAGCATTTAACATTGCATTCAGAACCATTTCACATTGCAGCAGCGGAATAAAAATACTTTCTTAACTTTCTTACCTACTTGATCTTTAAAAATCTTTGAAATAACCACTGGCACGTTGTGCTCTGCGCCTCCCTGGAAAGCAGGAGATAAAGATGAGCGTGAACATTGCTCGAGTTTCACTGGTGAAATTTGCTGCCAAAACTGACAAACAGTCATCTCTGCACCCAAAGCCTTTTCATTTCCACTGTAGTCTCTCCATAATCAAAACTTATCTGCTTACTTTGATGCTTAAGCCCAGACCGCCAGTCGCTTGTCTTCGCAGTACAACAGTTCTGTGCTTTAGAAAGTGGGAGTTTCTTATTGGCAAAAGGATATTGTGAACATTGAAACAGTATTCTGGAGTTATGCAGCATGAATTACAATGCAAGTCTGGAGCCCTCGGGTGCACTTACATTTACTTGGGTTTCACTTCCACTTGTGCAAACCACATCCAGCTTCTGTATGGTTAATACCTCTTTGGTCAATTTCAGGCAGACATCATAGGTATTGTTGGTCTCCTCATTGTACAGCAAAGCAATTCCAGATTTTGTCTGTTGAAATTGAGAAGAGCATTGACATTTTGCCAAGCAGAGCAATTATGTACACAATGAACATTTTAATCCTCTTTTCTCAATGTGCCATTTGTGTACCCCCCCGTTCTACTGGTCTACTTTTGCGTTAATTGGTTTTGCTTGACATTGTGAAACCTTTGTGTAACGGAGTAAAAAAAAAAAAAGGGGGATTCATATTTTCAATTCCATATCTTTACCTTACAAAACAAGGGACACACAAAAGTTCAGGACAGTTGCAACCAATTTAACACAGAGGACAGACATAACGACAACAGCCAACTTTGATAAAAGGCGCAGCTGAGACATAAGAATTCTCACTTTAGCTGTCTCTTTATAGATGAAGACTCCAGAAATGTCTGAAAATAGTGCAGCTCAATTAAACCCTCACTTCTAATGCTTCGGTCTGTGATCTTTCACTGCTCAGTCATCAGTTATCTGCAAACGCTAAATGAAATGGAAAAAAAAGCAGAAAAAAACACTTTCTGTCTACAGAGTAGGTAAATGACTGCCTGATTAAGTTTTTTTTTCTATTATTCAACGATGCTATTAGTCGCATTTCAAACTGTTTAGCTCAGTGGTCAAACGTCAGGGTTGTCAAGTATGTTATTTAATACTTTTACTTAGAAGAATACTAAGGATCTACAGCTACTCTACCAACCTAGAGAAGCTGTGTTTAAACACAGCAGTGCTTGGAGGTAAATGTTACCATCACCTTGCAAACATACCGATAATGAAAATGTTCCTGTGAATGTTCAACAGGTATATTGTTTACTGTGCTCACTGCTTTAATAAAGAACAGACGTGAGAGTGTCATTCGTTGTTGGGCATAAAATGAAGGACAGAAGAAACGATCATTGTAATCTGAATAACTGAATACATTAATCAATCAAAAACGGGAATCAAATTTATCCTGTAGTGAATTTTAGACCGCTGAATAGTTTCTAGGACTCAAAGTCACATTCCCCACCATCATAACGCGTTTATAAGACGTTGTCAAAGTTTTCCACTGCAGGTATTTAGAGGCTGTTTTAGGAGAGGCCAAACCTTTGTGTGTGTTTCGACTGCAAGACGTGCTCGCTAACTTTCAGAGCTGTTCTTGGGAAAGAAAAAAAAAACAACAACTTTTTCTTATTTCCGTACTTCTGAGCAGCCCTGAAAAACTGCTGTGCAGGGTGTGATACTGATTAGCTAAACTCAGACAAGACAAAGACCACCATTTTTCCGTCTGCCAATTCGATGTCCTTGTACCAGAACGGCATTTCAGCATTTGGACGTTCCGGCTGCAGGAGCTAGCTGGCTGTTTTAAGCTGGCACGAACCTTTGAGCATGTTTCTACAACAAAAACTCCAACGTAGAACCTTTTTCAGTACCCATGGCAGTTCTGAAACTTTACTGTGCAGGTCCCGATGCTGCTACGTAAACTTGGAGAGGAAAATAAACCATTTCTTCTGCCCTCATGGAGGAGCAGCCATCTCTCTAAACTCGCCATCTTCAATGTAAAATTCTACGTAAAGGCTAAAATAACAAATTCTCGTAGATTAATCGTAGCAACTGCACGAGCTCCAGGAACACGAAAAACCTCCAACCCAAAACCAAGAAGCAGCACCAACTCACAAGGACGAAGTGCCAGATACGGATAGCCAAACCCAAAAACAAACACCAGAGTTTGGGTTTCAATAAGATATAAGTATCTGGAACTCCCAACCAGTCAGTCAGAAATGATGAAGCCTCTTGGATGAGAGCTGAAACATCTTCAAGGAACTCAAGCAAGTCCAGTTGCTACGATTCATCTACCAGAATAACCATGACCTGGATGACTGAGAATCTTCACAGACATCTAACATAACAAACCTCCATTATTCTATTTTTCGTCATTAACTTGCAGTTGAACAGTCAAAGCTGTTGGATCCTACACCACATTGAAGACAGACAGGCTGAAAGGGCCGATTACTAGAAAAAATCAAATTTTTCTACCAGATATTGTGATTTGTATTACATTGAACCAGGTCAGTCATTCACTACTAAAGAGCAACATCTACGTATTGCACATCCTGTACTCATTTTTTCCCCCCAAAGGAACAGAAAATAAACCCTTGGTCGCTTCATAATTATAGAGTAAATTGCAGCCCTAGCAATTTGCTAACTGCACTGTTTCAAAACGCGATTCTGATTTGAAATCGATTAGTTTTAAGCACTAGTAAAGATTACCTGCTCAACATCATTATTACAGGGCATCTCCATTAGTTTTATCCTTTGTAAATGAAACTAAACCAATGTAAGGTGCATGTACAATGAAGATCAACGTGGCTTTGTGTTCTAATAACAGCCGCATCAGTCTGTATTATTTAGAAAACAGAAGGTGAGATGTATTGTTCCCCCAGTTGTCGTCATTCTACAATTTGCAATGTCTAAGATAGCACACAGACAAACTATTTGGTCCCTTCCTCAAACCCTTCCCTTATTACTTTGGTTCATGTTTGAAACGGTGTACTAACATGGTGAGTTACATTATCACCCCAAACTTCATCAGAATTCAGCCACGAGGGTCAATAAGACTGATGGATGATCTAGCATATAAACAAATGAAACAACAGTTATTTGATAGAAAAACAACTTCCTGTAGTGACTTGCCTGTGAAGTAGACGGTTTCACATACACGCAGTGTCCAAATAATAGGAACACAAACGCAACGCAACAAGCAACGGCAAGGAAATCTTTCTGCAGAGTTAAATCAGCATGTTTTGTCTCATCACAAAGGCTTCACTAAGATTTACTGATGTTTCTGTGATTATGTGCAGCCTCTTCTTCATTTGATACTGTATCAGGTTTTATTCTCGAGGTTTCCTTTTTGGCATAAATCTTATCAAGCGCCACCTACGACATTGCCGTTGATAAGCAGCGCACTATGTAAAGTGTCGTATCAATTTAATCCTTTCATCAATGCTTTAGCATTTTCATGCTGTTCCGGTACTTTTTTAAACGGCTTGAATGTTGCAGCAATACAAATCAGAGGACTTCAGCCTTATCTCAAGAGGAATGAAACATGAAGGTTGTCTCCGTGGGGACAGAAGGTTTCCATTACTTCATATTAAAGGGGAATTATCACATTGATTGGAAACATTTCAGTTCAGTCTTGTATTAAAAATACATTTTCACATTCTTAAGACAGTGCTCAGTGGAAGGACAAAAAACAAAAGAAGTGGTTTGTCGCTGCATGGTTTTGCAGACGGTGTCTATGTTGTGTAGAATAGCTGAAGATTCACCTTTTCATAGACGATGTGCTTTTGAGTGATCGGAGCAGGTGAGGAGGTGACAATCAGCACATGACTGAGGTCAACCAATTCTCTTTTAAGTGACTAGAGAATGAAGGTCATGCTCTGTTCCCACAAACAAAGACAGAGTATAAATTACAGCTTCGGTGAAATGTGGCTGCTGCAGCAGCACGATGGCTGCATTCAGGAGGAAACACAACAAGCCCCACAAGTTTTATAGCACACAAAGCAAAACAAGTCAGTGTCACTGCCTGGAATGACAAAGGAAACCTGTTTCACCTTCCATTACTCTCTACTTTGTCACTGCCCGACCTCTTAGGCAGCTCCCTGGTGCTGCTCTTATTGTTTCTTGTCAAATGACAGAACTGTTAAGTCTAAACAAAAAAACACGACAATAGACTGTGAGGAAAAGGTCTGTGGTCGTGTCAGCACTAAATCACAAATAACATTCACACAAACCGAAAAAATTCAAGGCAATAAACTTTACATAACTGTGTTGACAAGGTTGACTGCACCAGGAACAAAAGATGCTTTGTATAGATTTTATTTGCTTGCTGACTTTACAGAGACACTGAGAAACTGAGAAACTCGTCTTTGTGCACTTAATATCACACCAACGGACAATCTGTTCTTTGACACGTAAAAATTCTCCATAAAAATCTGCTTTGGGGTGTACACAGAGACTGTATTGTGTCTATGTGTATAAAAATATATATAAAAGGTCTACGGTTGTTCACACATACAGACTGGGAGGCTGGAACAACAACAGCTGCTGTCCATCATGAATGAGACCTGGTTTTGCAGCACTGAGCTGCCAAGCTTGACAGACTCATAAAGCACCCAGCTACACTACAGAGGAAAGTTAAGAAAGGCTCAGCTTTATGCAAATACCTCGTAACGGAGTATGAGCGACAGCCAGACAAAAACCAACAGCGATGAACAACACCCGCGGTCTCATCTATCAACTGCCTGTAAGCACAATTTGTGTGCAAACTTTGTACCAGTGTTTCCTTGCATAGGCTGTGATTTATCAGGATTATAATGTGGGTAAATTTAGAAGCACTCCTGACTGTGCAGATGCTCTTGGTGGAGGAGGTCATTACAACGAGATAAGATAAATAAGATGTAATTTAGCTGAAGTGAAGCCATAGAGGGCGCACCTATAGATTGTTGGAAATAATCCACACAAAGGCTGAGCTTCACAGGAGCATTTAGCGAATGGAGTTGTGCACAGAGCACATTAATAGGAACCGCAGGGATAGCACCATCACACTGAATGGGATTTATCGTTGCTGACATGAAGCTCTGTGTACTGTGTCGTTCCATACATGGGATAAATACCAGTTTTCTTAGGCTCAGTGCTCTTTAACACTCGGTTTGATAAACAGGGGCATGAGACTAGAATCGCCTCAAGTGCATAGACTGTACATATAAGTTGACCCACTGGTTTGTGAAGCACCACTTTGAAGCCTCGAACTCGGCATGTGGCCAACAAATGGTATTTCGAAACTAGACGCAACTAGCAAGAGTTGGATCTGACTGATTCCTTGACCGTGCAGAATGATACGGTAGTGATCCTTCAATTACAAGGTGCCCCAAACAAAGCCTTCGTTATGGTCTACTATTCTCTAAAGGGGACCTTAATGTACAAAATTAACTTAATGCTGAATTGAAGGAGACTTAAAACTAAAAATTCAAACAAGAAAC